GCAAAACAATACAACTCAAATGATTGATAGCATGCTACAACGATGCATTGACTGCATTAACTTCAAAAAAATAATCACTTCCAATGGAATAATAACTGATCCACCTGAAATAAAAGAAGCCACTTGCAACCACTTTCAGAATTGGACGAAAGCCAATCCCCTAGAGATTAACTTAGCACCAGACTAGGCAGGAGAATATGAGCCAAAAACTTATATCTCTGTGAAAATTTATGACTCTTTGACTAAACCAATTACACCACGAGAACTAAATGAGACCTTAACTGAATTCTCTTTAAAGAAAGCTTCAGGACCCACTGGTATAACAAATAAGATGCTTAAACACCTAGGCCCAACAGATAACTTAGCATTTCTAAACATCCTCAATGCCTGCCTCTGGCTACAAACTATACCCACAGCTTGGTCACAAGCAAATGTTTGGCCTATTCTGAAAAAATCTACTTACAACAATGACCTTAACACAACCTGCCCCATCACACTAATTGAATACGCATGCAAGATCTTCACCAAAATACTTACCCGGCACCTTAGCAAGATACTATTTAAATATAACATTCTCTCCTTCCACAATAATGTAGCTTTACCCTACACTTCTACACTTAACCCCATACTCACCATATCACATATACTTGAAGACAGTAACATTAACAACAAAACCTATTGGATTCTGGCCCAAGATATATCGAAGGCTTATGATATAGTTCATATACCACTTCTCGTACTGGCCCTTAAATGAATAAAGATACCACCACATATCATTGATCTTCTATCTTCTATCTTCTCTTAGCGACAAAACAAAGTCATAACAAACCATGGACTTACCTCCTCCTACCAAGTTGAGAATAGCATAGATCAAGGAGAGACAATCTCCCCTATTCTGTAGCATATCTATTATGATCTACTCATTTCAAGAGTCAGCAGACAAATCCCCAGATACATATTAAAAGCCACATCTTCTCAGGGTGAAACAATACATAGCATATCAGTAACAGCCTTCATGGATGATACTGTATAGATAGCTACCACCAAACTTAGCTACAACAAATCCTTGACATAACTAGCTCATTCCTGAAATATGCAAACATCAAAGTTAATCTCAATAAATCCATTTTAATCACCAATAACAACTGTACAGCACCCTCGATTAACTTCCTAGATAATATAATACATAACATTCCACCCAAGACAATTTTTAGACACCTCAGAACTTGGCTTTTTAGAGATCCTACACACAGACCTATACAAAAATTCATCATAAGAGAGATAAACAATAGCATTAACAAACTAAGATATTTAAAAATTATACCAAAACAAGCAGTTTATATTATTAACAATATCATACTTGCACACACAGCCTATCAACTCCAATGCACTTACCTCAACAATACACAGATAACTTAAACTACCAACAGATACACAAGTTTAGTTAAACACAAGGCCGGTCTAGCAAGATTGGTACTCAATTCCACAATTCACCACCCTGATATTTATGTACTTAAGACTCTAAAGCAGATACAATAACAACAGCATATTCGAACAATAAACTGAGTATTAAATTTCCCAAACTTCAACAAATCATCACTCAAAATCAGACTTCAACAGCTACAAAATGCAGCAAATATCAACAAATTGATTCTAGTATTTCCAAGCAATGAAAATAAGACTCACACAGCTCAAGCAATTTTTACTCTACACACATTACAAATTAGTCTCACATGCAAAGCAAATAGTTGGCCCATACCTAATGAAACAAGCGGCACCTCAATTAACAATATAGTCAGCCAGCTTCAATAACCGCATGCTATCAAAATGTTCTTAAACAAACATAATATAGGCTATATTGAACAATTCCTAAACATACACAACAACCAATTACTAGAATGAAAACAATTTCACCACAATATTAGTAAAATTCCTCATGGAAGAATATTTAAATGGTTTCAAATAATTAGAACTCTCATAGAAGATAACTCTAACCTCTCAACCAATTTAATATATCCCAACCCATTTTTTAACAAAAGAGTTTCTCTACACAAAAATACTTGAACTATTACCACTGCTAAATCCATAGACAAAATATCTAACATTCAAAATAATATCACAACAATACAACACTACATCTTGGATCACACATCACAAATTCTAAAACAATATACAAACTGTATTCAAAATGAAAAAAGCCTGCGCAAAGCAAAATGCACATTCTGTTTTTCAACAAATCAGCTATACCAAATCCAAGTGGACAAAAAATATCAAATTCATACTCACTTACCAAGTCTCTTTACCAAAATCACTCAAGCAAATATACCTCCAGCTCCAATACCTATCAGCCTACCCACACCAAGTTACAGGATGACTCACTGGTTCTCCCAAATATTTACCAATAACCAACCCATAGTATAGTCTATGTTCAAACAAACATATCTCAACAAAAAGATCCAGGTTTACATATCCAAGTCTGCCCTACACAAAGACAACCCAACCACATGCACCACTTTTGTGGATCCAAAAACGATCTGGTTAATTACAAATACTAATTGGCACTTACTGATTTACTTGACACTTACTACTATTGCACTAATACTAACAATAAGTCCACCCAAGGCTGTCATTAATCTAAACACAAATTTTATTCCACTATTTCAATTTATTAATATGAAAACCTATAACCAACATAAACTGTAAAAAGACAACTTCAACTGGCTTAAACAAATAATAGATACTATTATAGTAGCCAAAGAAATAACTATAATATCCAATTTCTCCAGTAAAAAACCTTCCAAAACTCACACACTACTATTTGAACTCCAAATTAATCTCAACCCCAGCCCCATCATACAATCGGCCTTCATACCAAATTTAGCAAATATACCAAGCACCTACTCAGTACACTAGCTTGCCAAAATTCTCATACAAGCCCAAGCTCGATTGAATTGGCTCCACCAAGAAAGAATCCTCCGATTGAATCAACATAGTGCTGATATCAACTGAAAGCTGACATTTGACCAGATTAATTTCAAAAACAAACCACGTCAAAGATACACCAACTCTAAACATGCAAAATTAAAAGCATTTAAAACAAAACTAATAACTAACGAATTATCTACTCACTTTGTTTTGTTCGACAAAGACCCAAAAAATCATCCAAATCCATTTTGTGCAAAATGTTCTAACCAAATCAAAAACATCTCACATCTAATATCTTGCCCCAGCAACCAGACCTCACTTAAAAAATTATCACTCAAGTTATTGACAAGATCTGCAGAAAACATATGGTGACAGCACCACGCTGTAACCAGTTTATTGAAAATTTTATTACAATATACTGTACTCAACAGATTCCTCTAGGCATTATATGCAATAGCTCACTTGGACCCTTTGCAACTCAAAAACTCAATACCAATCTAGCCGCGAAGCTACACTATAAAATTTTAAAGTCAATACAAGAAAAAATATGGAAATCAAGTCAATATAATCAACAAATACCAATCCGAAACATTAACCAAATATCTACTAAAGCCAAAACAAACACGTCTTTAAAACAAGTTCCAACTTTTCGACTTACCTAGCTTCAACAATTTATCACTTATAACATAACAAACCCCAATAGCATAGTCTAGAGGTCTTGACCCTTCTAGCCAAGAATAGGTCGTGAGTAAATTCTAGAAATAGATAGCTCTAATTTCTTATTCTCCTATAAATCAATATATATTCTTACTATGTAATTCAATCATATTTTTAATAAAGAGAATAGAGAAAAGACCTCTTTTGGAAAAAAAAATTAACTTTATCGCTAACCCTAATGCTTACTCTAGCTATATTGCTAAATTTAACTTGTTACTAACTATACCACTAATCCTGACTCTTAAATATTAACCTTATTGCTAACACAAACTCTTATCTATACTACCAAACTTACTTTACTCATCATTATCTATACTACTAACTCTAGCCTAATCTTTATTTTAATTCCTAACTTTTAAATATGTATATCAACTAATACTAACACTATTTCTAAATTATAGTACTATAATTTAAGTACTAACAACAAACCAACGAAATGATGAAATGACGAACTGACAAAATAATGAAAAGATAAAGTGATAAATAGACAAACTGATGAAACGATGACACTATAGAAAAAAAGAAAACAAAACACTACAAATGAAATAGCAGTATAAAAAAAAACAAAGATGTGCTGAAATTACAATAGAAATCAAAAATAAAGCCAAAGATAATACCAATAGCAAAAAAAAGTAACAATACCAATAATGAATGATAATATTAAAAAAAAAGAGAGTTGGTTAAAAAAAAAAAATCAATGTATTTATTTTTTTTATATTAATCTATATAACAAGAAAAAGCCAACATGATTATGTAATCCCAAAATAAAACCAGAGATCAATTGATCATATAACCTAAAAATTCTTATCTATATTCTAGATCTGTTAATTAGAAAGGTTGTAGCTTAAAATATGAATTAGGTTATGGTAGCACCCCAAAAGTTGGCTTGAAATACAAACTCAGTGATAGTAGTATAACAAGTACTAGTTAGAAAGAAGTTACCGAACATGCAGACAAATGCATATATGGAATATGTATCACTCTGTTAGGTATACTACAAGAATAATTTGCTTTTCAAATTAGATTAATAGCTTAAATCTTAGAGATTTAAGTGGTAAATTACTCTGTAAAAGGGTATATTAGGAGGAAATATATAGCACTAATATAGCCAGAGTTTAAAGTAAATAGCTTTCTAGTTAGGTTATAGATATAGTATTTAGTGTAAAACTCTTAGCATAGCACTAACGCTTTGGATATACTACTTAAATTAGACAACCACAAGTTGTATATGTGACTAGTTATACTCTTGTAATACTGATATAATATGTAAAGCCAGTATTCTTAACAATAGCCTACCTATTTAAACTAATAAAGTTCCAGAAGTCTAAGTTTTTATCTTAATATTAAAAAAAAAATTTTTATACACTAATATAAACTTTATAAGTTTTTATAATACATAAGAAAATCATAAACTTATATACAATTTAATATAAAACTATATAATATAGAAAATTGTAAATTTATGCACTGTAAGTTTTATGTAGTTTAACAATTTTCTTATATACTATAAAAACTTACAAAAGTTTATATATATATATTTTTGCTGATATAATATTTCTCAAAATATATTTAATATTAAAGTGATCACTTAGGTTTTTGGCACTTTATTAGTACAATTAGATAGGCTATTGTCAAGAAGACTGGCTTTACATATTATATTAGTATTACAAGGGTACAACAGAACTTCAAAGATCTCTGATTAATAATGCTGTCTGAAACTTAATAGTTTCAGATTAACCAAAACTAAAACTAGTATTACCAGTTTCGGGCATTATCCTTCAAACCAAAACTTGTCTAAACTCCAAAACTATGTAAAAACTCCAAAACTTAATTAACCAAGAAAATTAAAAATTAAAAATTGAATAGTTTGGAATATTTTATTTCTAATAATTATTCTCCTGATATAATCTCTGCTCAAACTTTTCAACAACTATTTACTTAATAAATATTTTCTTAACAACTACTCTGTTCTCTACACTTGATAATAATCTTTTCCCTAATGACAATTCTTTCCTAATACCAATCTTTTCCAACACCACTCTTTTCAACTATTATTCTTTTTCAAAACCACTCTTCTTCAATACCACCTTTTTTCAAAATTACCCTTTCCTGATACTAACACTATTCTTCTCTTTCCAACCAAATACCACTCTTCTCTGACATCATCCTTCCCAATACCACCTTTTCTCTTCTTCAACACTACTCTTTTTAAACACCATTCTTCTCTAATACCATCTTCTCTGATACCTTTTTCCCAATATTACCCTTTTCTGATACTACCCTTCCTTGATATTACTACTCTTTGACATTGCTATATCCCTAATACACTTTTTTATAAATTTTCTCTACAAATATTTCAATACACTACTACTTTTCTCAAAAGATTAAATATTAAATAAATTATTAAAAAAATTTGTTAAAAAATATACTAGTTAAGTAAAAAAAAATTTAAAAAAATCATAATTTAAATTAAAAAATATTTATTGCAGTTTGTATAATTTTGTAATCTTTATAATTAATTTTTTATATGATTAAATGATTGTGATTGCAATTGCAATTACTAAAGCCTGCTAATTTATTATGAATCTGAGTTTGTATTAAGCTTAGATTTGGCTAGCTTTAGCAATTGCAATTGTAATCACAATTACTTAATTGTAAAAATTAATCATAGCATAACAAAAATATACAAACTGCAATAAAAAATATATATTTAAATTAAAAAAAATTGGGTAATGAAAAAACATTATCTAAATTATTGTAGTTGTATAGTTTTGTGAATTCTATGATTAATTGTTTTAAAATTAAATGATTGTAATTGCTAAAGCTAGCCAATTTATAAATCTAAGCCTGACACAAACTCAGATTTATGATAAATTGGCCAGCTTTAACAATTGCAATTGAATTGCAATTATTTAATTTAAAAAAAATTAATCATAAATTACTTTTTACTACTATTATTGCATATTTGTTTATTATTTTTATTATTTTGTATTAAATACAAGCCACAATAAATCAAACTATATGAGCAGAAAACTTTATTTTTGTAATCGCCAGTAATTGTAAAATTATTTATAAATTGCTTATATACTAATTATCAGTCATGTTGTAAATAATTAATCTACTAAAGACTTAACTAATAACTTCATTATTTAATATATCTGATATAAGTACTGAGTAATTTTTATATAACTTATCTCAATATACTATATACAAATATTCAAATATTCAAATAGCTACAAGGAAATCATTTAGTGATCACATAGGATATATCAGATAAAAGTTATCAGTTACTTGTTAGTAACTTATTAGTTCTTATATACTGTTCATAAGTAAAATAACCAAAAACAACCTATATATAGGTGGAATTTGTAATATTAGTAATTTAAATTTTAATAAGCTTAATATTATATTAAAAATAATTTTTTTTTTATAGCTGCTTTTATAATTCCCAGAACATCTAATAAAAATTAGCCAAATGATTTTTCAGATGATCTGATAAAGATATTAAATTTAGCATAATTAGTATAAGAGTCAAGTTTAATTTTTAATATTGAATTTATTATACCAAAATAATAACTTAAACAGATTAGCCAAAAAATTATTTGGCTAATTATTTATTAGGTGTTTTAGGAATTATGAAAATAGCTATAATGCAAAATTTTACTAGTTAATCAAATTTTTAAAATCTCATATAAGTTTAAATTTTGAGTTACAAACTTTACATATGATTTAAATCTGATTAACTAGCAAAATCTTTGATTTTTTAATATTAAAATTTCTAACTAATAATTTAAACTTTTTTTTATTTAACAATCCTTTTTTATTAATTAAATTTTTTTTATTTAAATAATATTATTTTTAATAATTTATTTTATTATTAATATATTTAAAAATAATTAGTGTGATAAAGATTGCTATAGGGAAAGAGTTAGAAAGTAATTGTAAAGAAGTGTTTGTATTAGGGAAGTAGTAGTGTTACAGTAGTGGTGTCAGAAAAAGAGGTTTAGGGAAGTGAGAAAGAGGTTGTCAGAAGAGAAGTTGTTAGAAAAGAAAAGTTATTAGAGAAAGAGAAGGTTGTTGGAAAAAATAGTTATCAGAAAGGTTATAATTGTCAGGAAGAATAGTTATCAAGGGGTTTAATTGTCAAAAAAATAATTATTAATTAAATAGTTGTGGGCTAAATAGTTTGTCGGAGATGGAAAGTGATTGTTATAAGGGGGTGCCAGAAATTACCTGATTTCTATTTACTATAGAGCCTACCCCCTCCCCCCCACCTGACTGGTTTGACAGCCAATCAAATTTTACTTACATTAAAATTATTATTAAAAATATTTATAAATTTAATAGCTGATAACTTT